GGGCCATGATTCCTGGGAATAGAGGGGGTTTTAGCCTCTTGTCTGAAACCCAGAAGCAATCCCTTCAGGAGTCCATCCTCGAGATCCTTAGAAACCTTACATCTTCTAGAGCTACGGCCCGTGTGCTGCTATTTGCCTTCTTCTCTCATGTAGATTATCATTTTTTTTTCCTGACAATATGCATAAGGTTGTGTCTAGACAGTCTCACTGGGGAGTGGGGTGGATATGGCCCCAAGGGGGCAAAAATCAGATCTTTGGCAGGTGAGGAAAGTCTTAGCTATCACAGTGGTTTGTGGCCTTTTAAAGGAGTTCAGGACACAAACAGCCCTGCAGTATTCCCGTGGCACTGAAATGTCATGGGAGGGGAGGACGATTACAGGGAAAAAATGTCTAAAGTCTCCTTAGGGGAAAGAAAATGGGGGTGGGGTGGGTAGAAAAACAATTACCTGTGCAAGCAAGCCCCACTCAGGCTAAGCTGTAAATCTATTTTGGATGAAGCGTGTCAGGTTATGAAATACAACAATCCACATCACTGGGGGAGCCCTATGGAGAGAAGGGCAGAGAATGTCTCCTCAGGGACCACACGCAGGGCCTCCCTTCTGCTTCAGAAGAGCAGAGAAAGTGGCAGAGACTGGACACGGGCAAATGAAGAGGCTGCCCCGAGGACACTTGTGCCCTGAGGCTCCCAAGTCTGGGGTCTGCAGCCAAAGCGAGACCTTGCCCTGTCCCTGAGCCCCTGCCTCCCGGGTAATGGAATGGGTCCTTCTTCACACCTCTGATGGGACAAAGCTGTCCTAAACCAAAGGGTTCACTCTAAAGCTTTTTCTGATAATTAAAGGAGACGAGTACAAGAGGCTCAAGCCAGGCCTGGCCCCTGTATTAGCAAAATTTTAAACCTTTGGTCTCAGGAAGAGAACTTCGGGGCTGAACGGACATTCCTAAAGAACCCAGAAAACCCGTTTCCAGGGTTGGAGGAGACCTTCCGCGGCGAGGGTCCTCCAGATCCCTTTTGTCCGGTTTTCTCAGGTATCCCAGGGAAATATGCAAGCAGGAGAGGGAGAAACAGAAGCAATCTCTCTTTTGGGGGTTTTGCAACTCGGTCTCCTTGATTTTACACAAACGTCCTTCTGCTCTATTAAAAAAAAATGTTGCTTTTAAAACTTTTTCTGTAGAACTGGAACGATATACCCAGTGTCCTCAAGCTCAACCTGTCTCGCCACTTGGGGAGAGCTGACTCGAGTCCTTCTGAAAAGAAAGTAAAATGGCACTCGGCCTGGGAGCAAAGCCTACGGTCTCTGTCACCGGGATATCAGCCTCGTCTACACCAGCTGGTTCTGAAGATTTCGATCTGGAATTTGGATGTCCTTGTTTCCTTCCCCCAAAATTACCGCCCCCCCCATATACATAACTATGTAAGGTGACCACAAAGTCAGGAAACAGGATAAACTTTTTTCTTTTTTTTAGTGTTCATGATGGGTGGAGGAGACGGGGATGTGGCAGAGGCCTGTGGTGTGAGTGCATATTTGTGGAGCCGATTTGGGGTATATGCTCTGAGGTGGGGGAGGAATGTATGGGTGCGAATGTGGGGGCTGTGAGGGGACTTCTGCGTATGTGTGTGTGTGTGTGTGTGTGTGTGTGTGTGTGTAGGTGATGGCAGGGACGTGGGTGTGGGTCTGCAGGGGGGGCATGGACAGGATAAACTTCAAATTGCTTGCATTTAAAAAAAAAATATATATATATATATGCTCCATGTGTTATCAGGCAAAGCACTCTAATGGGTCTAATTGTTAAGCTGTATCGTCACCAAAAATACCCTCGAAAGTGTCCCAAAAGTCTGGAAATGAGAAGGAATGTATTTGTGGCATTTTTCAAATTAAACCATGGATCTGCTGCTTAAAGGTTAGAAGCGCATTCCTGGAAAAGAGTATCTGACCCAGGGGCTGAAGGAAAGCAAACTGAGCACAGTATTATAAAACGTAAACTGACGTACTACTTACAAAAAAGTTCATCCTGGTTCCTGATTTGGAGGAATCCCTCTCTATTACACACAAACTCTAAGATCCAGGATTTCTTGAGGTTTTCTGTTTGTGGCCCCCTATGCTAGGTGCTTTGTCTACGTTATTTAATCTTTGCACAAGAGCCTATGAGGAGAGCAGTGGTAACAGCCTATCCAGTGGATTAAGAAACTGAGGTTCAAAGACGGGGGTAGTAAACTTACATGCCAGCAGGCATGATGCAAATGACTAAAACAAAGGACACTGCCCTGCAAAAAATGATCAGTTCAAGCCAATTGTTGCTGGATAGGGATTCAGGCCCCGTACTGCCCGACTGATCGATTTTTCCAGAGAAGCCAGAACTCTGGATTTGGGCCGAATCTTCTGATTTTCAGATGCTGGTGACTAATTCCATTTTTCTATTAACTCTGTGTTGGCCAAGCCAAACGGATTTGCGAAGCAAACCCAGCAGCAGGCCTCTAGTTTGCCAGCTTGGAATTGAAGGAACTTGCTGAAGTTTTCCCCATCTGGGAAACAAGAAGACAGAAGAGAACCGAACTCAAAATCGTCCTTCTCTCTTAGGACAGGACAGCAGTGGCTGCACTGGCTTAAAGGCAATTTTGTTTAAATGACTCAACTTCTCAGGCCACTGGGTCCATGGAAGTGGGAGCTGTAGGAGGTAGGAGGCTCTAGGAGGCGACCACGCAGCAGGAAGGACTCTCATTGGGCCACACGGAGCAGGGGGGTGTGGCTGGAATTTTAGCTGTTAAAATCTTCACCAAATGCAGACTTTCCAAGGGCTAGCTCAGGTCCACCTTCTGGATTTAATACCAGCAAGAAGCAAAACAATAACAACAACAACATTACCTCATTTCCCCCCACCCCAATGCAATCTAACTTGAAGCCGAAACTGCAACTTCCAAATGCACCAGACCTGTAAGTCTCTTATTTAAAGAGGATCCTTGACACACACCTTCTTCAGTAGGAGGGTGCTTCCCACCATATTTACAGACGCTGAGGTTTTTGATCAACCTTGTCCTGGTGTTCCAGAGTCCCCAAACCTAAACAAGACACCTGTTCTCATCCTATCACTAGTTTCAAGAGACCGACTGCAGCACTTAGAATGGGATTAACATTTCACTCGGTCTTCCACTCCTGACTGTGTAAAAGGTTCTCCTGGAACAGCTGAGCTGCCTTGCCTTATGGAGAATTAGAGATCGGCACGAATGCACGCACACATAAGCAGCCATTTCTGTAAATGCCCGAGAAGAAAAATCACTCAGCTGAATGGTTCAGAACTCCAGGAATCTTTTCTTCTAAGACAGAAAGGCTCAGGTAGCTGCCACAGAGACCCTGCAAGGCCTCCCCAGCCCAGCCTCCCGACCGGGCAGCTCCCTGAAGGAGAGCGTGCCTTTGCTCAAGGTGGCAGTGGGTGTCAGTGTGAGCCACGGAACCTCGGGAACATGGCTGACAAGGCCAGGCCCGCCCAACAGCTGCTGGTGAGTAACACCCTCCAGTTAATATACCCCTGCCTCACCCCAGGGGAGTCACGCTAAAGGTCACATCCCCCAATCTGGGCGTACACCTGCCTTCCGACAGCCTTACACATACAAACTTCCAAGTCTGCTGTTTGAGGGCAGCTTTGGGTGACAACCCCAAACAACCTCTTGGGGCATTAACCACGCAGGAAACTCTGTTGCACGCCCGTGCCAGCAGCCACCTCGACAAGAAGCACCGTCCAAAGGAAATAAAATCCGAAATGCAGTTACGTGGCCTTGCTTTTCAAAAGCAAAACCAAACCAAACCAAACCAACCCATGATCATTTTAAAACCACAGGCCCAGGGCCTCGTCTTAAAAGTACCAACAATGACACCCCCAGATGACAATACTTGGCTAAGTAACTCCAACAGCCTCTTCGAGATCGCATCAGAGGGTCGAAGGAACACAGGATCCAAGAAAAGATCAAGTCCTGTGCTTCCTTATCAGAATAGCATCGGCAGAAGAACGTTACTAAAGATGGTGATAGCACGGCCCAACCCTTTCCAACTTTTTCTGAGTTATGTTAAACAGAATCAGCAGAATTGGCTGACCAAGGTCTCTGTACGCCTCCAAAGCCCGTTTTATACTGCATATGTCTTTCTGGCCACATTCCTTCAGCCAGGCCCCTGCCTTTTCAGTCTCTCTGGGGAGAAAGCCTTCCAGGAGGTCTCCAGGCCCACGTTCTCTACTGAGCCTTGACCTCAGGCAAGGACCACACCTGCCCCCTAACTATTCAGGGTAGAGACGGTGCCACGAATCGTGTGGGGGGTGGGTGGGTAGGGGGGTGAGAATCAGCTACCGAATCTCATTAAAAAGGCTATCATTAAAAAGGCTAACTAGTCCTGAAGTTAACCCACCAGCCATCACTTGATCAAACTCCTCTGCCGCCTGAAGCGATGTTATTTTAAACCTCCCTGGGGACTCTTGGCCAAATTTAAAACTACCTCGGCAAGCCCTGAAAAGTGGCAAGCATACAGCGAAACGAGTCCTTAGTCATCCCTAAAAGGTTCCACGTAAAGCGTGCCGCTTCTCCCCAGGTTCTGGGCATTTCGCTGCAATCCCTCAAGAGAATCAAATAAAAGATACGCCATTTGACCTCCCCAGTGCCAGCGCCTGCCCAGGTGGGGTGGCCCCACGGTCGGCCGCGCGGTGCGGGAGTCCTGGGGGCGGGGCGGGCCGGGAGGGGCGGACCACTCCCCTCCAAGCCACGCACAGGGGCTGGCACTCCGCACTCACTCTGCCCGCCAGGTTAAGGCTCTCCATGGCTTCTAGAGACTGGAGACGATTACGGAGAGAGGGAGCTTTTCCGTCTCTACGCGGCTCCAACCTTTAAAGAGTTAAACAGCATCTTATCCAAAATGTGGGCACCCTTGAGGCCGAGCGTGGTGTCCTTAACGCCCGGAAGGACTGCCCGGCCAAAGGTTAACTAACCCCAGAGCTCGGTGGGAGAGGGAGACGCCGCTAACCTGTATGCACTCTGTAATGGGCTTTGAGATGGGAGGATTTTCCATAGACTTTCCCACAGCCACTGTAGGGGCACTTGTGCCTCTTTTCGGAGGCGTGTTTCCCCTTCGCAGCCACTCCAGGGTGGAGGAGGGAGAGCGGGCTGGGCGCGCTGCCAGGATCCTGTCTCTCCTCCGGGCTGTGAGAAGGACTCGACCCAGATTCGGTGGTCACGTCGCTGTCGGATCCCATATCCTCATCCGGACTCTCCAGACTGTCGCTGCACACCGAGGGGGTCTGGATGGGTCGGTACTTGTTCAGGTCCAACAAGCTCTTGGCGATGGTGACCAGCGTGCAGTAATCCTTCCAGGTGTCCCCCGGGTCGCCGTGCTCCTTGGTCACCTCGCGCTCAGGTAGTCGCAGTCGCTCGGCGTCCGGAGCGCCCCCATGCTCCGGCACCGCAGCGCGGTTCGAAATAGAAACCAGACACTGGGCAGCCACGAAGTCCATGTAGGCGGCCGCGGACATGGTGCGGGCGACAGCAGCCCCGGCGGCGCGGCCGAACTTGGCGGTGGCTGCGGAGGTTCGGCTCGCCCTGCCCTGGCCTCGGACGACGAGCGCGGCGCGGCGCGGCGCGGCGCGGCGGCCAAGGGGGCGGGGGCGCGGGGCGCTTCCGACTCGCAGGAGCGCGAGGCGACCTCAGCCCCTCATCTTTACGTAACCGGCAGCGCCTCCGCACGCAGCATCCACGGCCCCGGGCTCCGCCGCGCTGCCGCCGCCGCCGCTCGCCGCCGCCCGCGCCCCGCGCCCGGCGTGATCCCCTCGACGGGCGCGCCGGCCGCTCCGAGCCGGCTCCCTTGGAAAGATGCCACACGTGGCGGCCGCAAGTTTATTCGCTGGAAAACGCCCCCGAGGCGCTGGGAGAGGAAACTGCAAGCGCGGTCCACGCCCTCCGCCGCCTCTCCGTCCAGCCAAAGCCCCAGGACGTTCACCCGACCACCCCGACGCGGGTGGCGAGGGCCGGACGGAGCGCCGCGTCTAAGAGACACTTTTCCTCCCGTCGGCGGACGCCTTCTGAGCCCCTGCTCTGGCCGGTCCGCACAGTTCCGGCATTCTCTCGCTCAGTAACAATTTCGCAGAATCCCATCACGTCACAGTCCAAACCCCCTCCAATTGGCCAGTGGGGAGGGTGATTCAACTCTGTTTACTTTCTCCCCCTGCCAGTCAGAACGGCCTTTCGGTGGAGAGGTGCGTCTAGAACCGAGGCGTGCGGCCAATCCGACTGTTCCGTTTCGCTGCCTCGTGCTACCCCGACAGCCTCGAACGCTGACATTTAAAAGGGTAACAGCCGGGAGGCTGGAAGGGAGCCGCTGCCCTTCCTCGGGAGCGCCTCTCGGTCCGGGAGCGGCGCCGGGGCCTCCGGGCCCGCGGTCCCGCCTGCGGAGCCGCGGGACACGCCTTCCCCAGGCACTTGCGCTCGCTCTCGTGACAAAAGAAAAGTTCAGGTTCGGTTTTCCAGCTTGCAAACAGTTAAGTGACTTCCTGCAAACGCTAGAGTCCCAGCAACCAGCCTTCCAATCAAAAGTAAGTTGGTTGATGTCACTGACATGGGCCCAGCCAATCAGGACGGCGCTCCGAAAGCAGGCGCTCCACACTTGTAAACGCCGAGAGCTGTAGTGAAACCGGACACATCCCCGTGTTTTGGGTGGCTGGTAGTAGAAGTGAGATATGTATGCGAGGGCAGGGTTGATGAGCAAATGCAATGCCGAGTCAAAACTTAAAAAAAAAAAAAAAAACTAAATATGTCAGGCCGAGTTGCCCAAGAATAAATACAAATGAGAAAGCATCATTTCATTTTTTTTTTTTTTTTCAGTTCGGGGATGCAACATACTTGGGGGCAGATTTTTAATAATCATTCGATCTAGTGCATAAATTGACTATGAGTAATTCATCTTAAAACCAAAGTCTTAAACCAAAGTCTTTTTTACTGGCTCACTATTCCTACCTGGAAACACCCCATCTTTGCTTCTGTGATGCCTTTTCATTCCTCTCCTTCCCAATGCAATCTACCCTAGGTAAGTTATTTCAGTTTTGTTTTGAAGCTACTGGAACCCATCTTCAATTAAATGGACGCAAAAATTTGTATGACTTTTTCAAAGACACCATTCTCCTTCGATCAACCCCTGGATGAATTTCAGGGGTTCTCTTCCCCTTAGAAGCAGTGATATGCAGGGACATGACTTGTCTATCTATCAGGTAGATAGTGACAGAGCTCAACTGAAATCATAAATCTAATGATTCCAAGCCCTTTGGGCTATACAAAAACTGAGCTCTTTGATTTTGTGAAATACTAACTGTGCTAAACAGATTCCTAAGAACTGGAACAAGCCAGAGATCCTTAGCTATTGAATACTGTGGCATTACTTGATCAATGATTAGCATGGGTCTTGGAGTCTGATGAACTCAGTTTGCCTCTCCCTCTGAATGAACGATGAGTTGTTTTCCATCATGATAGCTGAGAAAAGAATCTAAGGTTAATGCCTATTGCAGGAGGCAAACTGTTAGCAGGATTGCTTAAAAATACGTTGATTTTCCTAATTGGGTGTGAGAGGTACCTGCCTCTCACTGATACAGATCCACTGAGGTTCAACCATGGGCTCCACTGGCTGTTAGCCTTGGGTTAAGGTTTGGGAAAGTTATACTACTTTCCTGGTCTCAAAAGGAAGAGTTCCAAATGAACCCTCCCAGTTTGAAGGCCAGTATAGTTTTTTTTCTTTTTTTGACTTCGCTTTTGCCGTGGTCCAGGAAGATATAGCAGTAGGTTGATTATATGGAAAAGTGAAGTGTAGAAAGGAAATGGCAGTCAGCCGAAAGGAAGTGGCAGTCACCCTCACTATCATGGTAAAGTAGGTACATCGTGGTATGTGATGGTAAAAGTGGCAAAAAAAAAAAAAAAGGTAGAAGTGAAGCCATCTTAGAGTTCTTATATTCCAATCCCCTTAATTTTAGAAAAGAATTCACTGAAGCCCAGGGGAGTTTGCCTACTTCATAATTTTTCTGGGACAAACTCTGTCCCCAAGGATACATGATCATCTAGAAGTCGCACCTTGGCTTGCTTCTTTAAAGTCCAGCACAAATACCAATGGGATGGCTCCAGGGTCTCTATGATCACTGCCTGCACAGTCTCTTGAACTTGCATTTGCAACAGGCATTGTACTGAGCACCCCCAGATTGCCCTAGAGTTAATTAACATTGGGGTTATTCCAGAAAAGAAGGAAAGTCTGTATCTTTACTTGGACATTGTAATTCAGGAACTTGAATGAATCCATCATCATAGTTTTTTTGCAAAATATAACTCCCCCCTTACTTTTTGCCCTCTTTTCTTTTATTAATTACCTTTAATTTAATTTTGCTTGGACTGGACATAAACCCTGAATTCTTCCAACTCATTCATTTCACAGTTATAGAAGAAAAGTAATAAAAGAAAACCGAGATTTCATGCACACGAGTTTCTCTCATATATTTACAAATGTATCTGCTGCTCGACTTGATTTAGAATAGCTTTTTAAACCCAGAAATTCTAGAATTATAGAATGCTTTCCCCTTTATCTCTTTTTCCACTCATTCCTTCTCCAGATACTTAAGTTTCAGTCACGGAGCTAGGCATGGGCGAGTACAGAAATGAAAAGACAGTCTATCCTCGATGAGACTTATATGTTAAAAACAAATTATATATACCACAAACTAACATATATCACAAGTAATAATTCCTACATCAGGATTGTGTGTGTGTGTGTGTGTGTGTAATTTAACAAGCTTCCCTTGCTCTGTTAGGATATGTGTTATAATAGTTTTGTGATTAAACTCAGCTTACACTGTTTTGCCAGCATGTAGTTGTCCCAATTAAATTCTGGCAAAGTAAATTATCCCAAATTAATATGAATCATTCCTAATTACAATGAATAATTTACTAGTAATGTATATATTATGCCACATAAATATGAGAGGTCTGGTTTCCCCCAATTTAGTCTTTGTAAATACACATTTCAAATCTACACAGACCAACTGAGAGGAGCATGGGAATACAAAGACTCTAACTGTGCTCCTCGTTTATAAGTATGTGTTTTCCTCTCTAAATTCTGTCTAAGGCTTGGCTTTATTATCCCAGTTCTCAAGAACAAGCGTTTATGGGCCTGTAGCTAGAAGTCTTATTTTCTGTGCATCCTAAGATAATTATCAGTATCACCTCTAGAAGAGGTAGTGCCTACCTTGAGCTGATTCTTTGAGCAGGTGTTTGGGCCAGCTTAGGGTAGAGAAGGGGCCTCCTGGGCCCGAGATGAGCAGCATGACCCTAGGCAACCTCTTAGAGTTATTTCCTTATCTGTGAATTAAGAGCATTAAATGAATACATCTCCATAGTCTCTTACAAATTCCAAATAGTCTATGGATCCCGCCCCCCCCCAAAAAAAAATCATAGGGAAAAGTACTGACCAAGACTTGGGTTCTTTAGACACCATCTCATGTGTTATGCATGTACAGACAGGTCTTTATGGCAATGAAGGTCAGAATGTCGTAAATCAGTATTTAACGGGATAGCAGGCACAATACAAACTTGTCCCAAATCCCTTAAATCTTTTCTTCCTTAATTTCATGGTCTTGCTTTTTCTCTCTTCAAGCTAGCTTGTGCAAATTTTCCACCCTAGCCTAGCCCAAGCAGAGGTATTTCCAGGACGAACGCAGCCCTTTCCCAGTCCCCTTCCCTGGAGATTTTAATCCTAATTGAGCCCTGGGCAGAGTTTCCCCAACTCTCTGGTGGAGCTTATCGCCTGGGGCTTAATCTAAAATACATATTGCCCAGTCTCATCTTTGCCCAAGACCCAGGGAGGTTTAGGTTAGAACAGGACTATGTACGTAGTGGGTCCTGCCAACTCTGGCTTTTCTCACTCTTTCCTGCTGGGAAGGGTGGACGGTGCTGGGCAGAGCTGCCAGCCTCCCGGCGGGAAGGAAGGAGAACAGATGGCCCACTGGGGGTAGGGGATCACGTGTCGGACCTCACTCTGGGCTAGATCCAGACTTCTTTCAGGACCCAGGCCCTTTGGCTTCAGCCGTTCCACCTAGGCACACAGCATCTACCTGGGGGCAAACCAGCGTTCATTTTAGTGAAAGATGAGAATTAGGAGGTGGTGGTGAGTTGGGGGAGGGGAAGGCGGGCCGAAGGGATCCGGGTTCCCAGCAAAGGCAGCAGTTCTGGATTTGAAATACAATCAGGTAACGACCTATCTGCCAAAACGCCCGCGACCATAACATCAGTTAACACGCAGGGTCTGGAGAGGGAGGGGGGGCTCCGGCCCGCTCGCAAACTTGCACAACGCCCTACTTTGCTCTCGCTCCACTTAGCAGCCTTCCGCAAACTCCAGGCCTTTCCTTTGCCGAGCAGAAAGGCCACACGTTCATGCATATGCAGGAGGATAAGTTTAGCTAGCAGCCCCCCGCGCGCGGAGAGGCCCTGCGCGGCGCACCGTGCATCACCCGCGCTCGGGGGCGGGCGCTCGGCTCCGGCAGCCGACTGGCGGGCGGCGCAGCCACTTGCGGGCTGCGCGCCCCGGCCTGGCATCGCCCTTTTAAAAAGTCTTCCGCAGGCGGCCGCCGCAGCAGCAGCCGGAGGAGCCTAGTTCATCTGAGGACAGCCCCAGTTCTCAGAAATCCCTTCCCTGCTGGAACATCAAGCTCCCTTTACTGCAGTTGAACAAACTGCCCTACATTGGGGGATGAGGAACCCGCCCCAAACTCGTGCAAGGAGCTCCGGGCGCCCGCGCCCACGTGAGCTAACCTTGAAATTAGTCCCCGCAACCCCGGCGGGAGGTGGGGCAGGCTGGCGGGGGTGAGAGTGGGCGGGGGCCGGCTGTTGGCTCTTCTAGGCCCAAGCCCTTGGGTTTGGGCCGTCAGCTGGCGCGTATCGCGCCCACCACCCTGTTTCATAACTGTCGGGGTGAATATTTTTCTTTTTTAACTCTTCGGGGGAGCATAGGTGCGCGCGCGCGTGTGCATGTGTATGTGTGTGTTGAAGGGGGCTGGAGGGGGCGGGTAGAGGCACCTTCCCCATCCCCCACACCCACGAAGAAGAGGAAAACCTGCCTTGCGGTCTCCCCTGGGAACACTGCGGAGTAGGGTGTCGGGATGACATCAGCTTCTAAACATAGCCCGCACCGCACCCCAACTCTGAGCGCAGCGAGCAGAGCTGGGGCGGGAGCGAGGGGAACGCAGGGAGGCGGGTGCTGCTGTCCGCGGGCGGGGCGCGCCGGCCGGCCGGGCTGTGCGGGAGGACATGACTTTGCAGGAATCCTGCTCGCAAGAGTTTGCAGGCAATCTCTCCCGCGATGGTCGGGCCACGGGGTTAGGAAACATTCTTTCCATTCCGCGCGCTCTCTTGCCCCACAGAAGCCACGGACACACGTGCGCACGCACGCAGTCCTGGAATCTAAGGTGTCTTTATTTATATAAATCAACGCAAACCCCGGCCGTAGCTCCCAGGTTGGGTCCGCCCGGGGGCATCCACGCCCTCCGGCCTCGCGCCTGCCTGGGGGCTAAGCCCGCGAGGGGGTCGGCGCAGCCCTCCCGGTGAGTCAGATGGGCTGTTTCCTGTGGTTGTTGTGGAACAGTTTGTCCTTTTTACCAACCCCCCCCCTCGCCCGGTCTCCACCCCCTTGGTAAATATAGCGCTCACGTTTCATCATCTCTTTGTCCAACGAGCGCCAGACACCCCGGCCCGCGGCCCCCGCCGCCTCCCTCCTCCTCCCGGCTCGCGGTTACCTCGCATAACCCCGCGCGGGCAGGCGGCGGGCAGCAGCTTGCCCCACGGCCCCCGCCAGCCCCGCACCCCACCGCTTCCCGGGCGGTACACTCCCACCCCTGCTGCCAGTTCCCCCGCCAGTTGTGCCCCCAAGCCTCCGTCCCACCCCTGTGGCCCGTTGTCCCGGGGACCGGGCCGGGGTTTGTGTAGGTGTTGGGAGGTAGACTCCCGTTCTTCCCAGCCCCAGGCGTCCCCCCCGCGCTCTGGCCAGTCCTGGGTCCTCCGCTTACCCAACCTCCCCTCTCCCAAGTCCCAGGGCCGCCCCCTGTTCCCCTACTGAGCGCAGGTGACGAGCTGCTGAGACAGTGATTCACAGACCGCTAAACCCGCGACGCTCACTTGGGGGGTGGGCGCTTCGTGAACGTCTCCTTCCCACCCCCTCACCCCAGAGGGGAGTGGGCTGGAGGGGCGGGAAAAGCGGGGTGGGTGGATAGCAGCCGAGAAGCGCGTGCTTACCCTTCCCTCTCCCCCTTCCCCTCCCGCTTTCATTTGCACACATACAGCCACCCACCGGGGACCGGAGGCGGCTGGTGTTCTCTGAACGCCGGGAACTGGCTCTCTCTGTGGTCTCCTGTTTACTTCCCTCCTCGTCTTCCCCCTCCCTCCGCCTCGCCCCCGCCACCCCACGCTGCCTCCCGCCCCGGAGCAGCTGGGAAACCTGCTGCAAAACACGGCAGTCATGAGATTTCCCTGGACCCGAGCTGTGGCCTGGGTTTGCCCTGCCTTGCCCTGCCTTGCCCTGGGTCCACTTGGGGCTCTTGGTCCTGGAAGGAGAGGCTCTTAGGGCTCCCCATCCAGGAACCGGAAGAGGGGACAGCCTCCCCCCTCACTCCTTTATCCTCCCTCCCTCCCTTGGCACCAGATACCATCCTGTGGGGGCCCTGCCTGGCTGCCTTTTTGGCCAGGGCTCTGGGCCTCCCCTAGGAGTGGCCACCTGTCCCGGGAGGGGTAGTGAGAGAACCGGCACTGTGTAAGGACTCCGAATGCAGGATGCTGCGGGGCTGGCTAATTTGCCACCACAGGCTGTCCTGTTCGGGCCAGGGTGCCCGAGGTTCCCTGCTGACTGAGGTTTTCAGGCAGAGCCCCCCAAACCTGCTCCCAGGGACACGCCCTCTCCTTAGGGAGTCTGGCAAAACCTTCCCTTGCAAAGCTTGCTTCTCAGCAGGGAAAAATTCGGTTTCTCTTCCTAAGTAAGCTGAGTGAACAAAGAGCTCCCCGGAGGCCATGAGGGTGCGCTCTGGGGGCCGCCCACCTGAAGCTCACCCCCATTTATAAACCACCTCTTCACCACAGCTCTGGGCGCCACTGTCATGGTTACCCGCTCCCTGTCCTTCAGCAGCAGCACGAATATTGCACAGAGGTGGAAACAAACAGGGGCATTTAACATGTCCTTTTGAATATTCCAAACGCAGCCCTGGAATTTGGGTAGTGGAGAAGAGAACAGAGAAGTCCCCCAGTGGGTCAGTGCTTGCCTTCTGACCCCATGACCTTGAATGAATCCGTCACCCTAATTGGCCCCTCAGCTGCCAGAAGAGGGAAAGGAGCCGGTTGAGATACTACAGAGTGGAGTTCGGAACAGAGGAGGTCCACCTGCGCTGGGGAATCTCACGTCAGTCTTCTGCCCTTTCCACCCAGCCTTACCCCCGAGCTGCTGAACCCCCAGCACGCTACACCACCCCCTTCTGCCGTCTCCTGTGGATACCCTCTCCTTCCCAAGATTCTAGCACCTGACCCACAGTCCTCCACCTTCGCGCCACCCCTGCTAATGTTTCAGGGGAATCTAGCAGCCTTGTGGAATAATGACCTATCAGGAACCCCAGTCCCCCACGGCAACCCTTTTCCCCTCCACCTTGGACCTTCGTCATGTGGATACCCTGAACCTTTTTTACTTCTAAAGAACAGCACCACCTCTGCTCTCTTCATCTCAAGCCAACCGGTGCCTGACCAACACCTCTTCCCCCTCCACCTCATTTACTCTAATAACCCACTTGAACCGTTCTTTGACCTTATTTTGACCTTCAACCTACTCTTTCACTGTTCATCATGGCCCTTACAGTCTCACAACCCTCCTATATCCAGCTTTGATTTCATGGTCTCTGTCCATCACTCTATCATCCATGCACCTCTCTCTGTCTTCTTCCTGGGACCACCCACCCGGCAAGACACTGATTCTGTCCAGCTTAACCCACAGGACAAAACCAACAGTGCCGTCCTCACTAATTCTACGATCATGAATCTCAAGTTCATGCTCAACACCGCCCTTCTGCTTTTCCCTACTCTGTTTGCTCTCTCACACTCTGAAATGACCCTGCACCTTCTGTCCTCGAGTCTCCCACCCCTCTCCCCTTCCTCACTCTGAGCTGAAAACCTCACTCCTTAATCTCTGACAAAATAAACGCAGTTTCGTAAGAACTGCCCTATCTTCCCAGCACCATAGCTTCCATCCCACCTGCCTCTCTGCCCTGGCTTGGCCTTCCCTCCTGCCACAGGGAGGTAGTAGCATCCTGGCCCTTATGTAAACCAGATCTTTCCACTTGGCACCATGGTCCCTCCCTCTCTCAACCACCTAATGACTGCTCCTGGAATTATCCCCTATCTCCTGCTCATCAGCTGTCCCCGTCTCTTAAATAATTCTCGGGGACACAAAAACATGGTGTAGTCCTTCCTATTTTTGAGAGAGAGAGGGAGGCTGAGAAAGAGTGAAAATGTGTGTGTAAGCAGCAGGGGTGGGGCAGAGAGAGAGAGAGAGAGAATGAATCTTAAGCAGTCTCCATGCTCAGCACAGAGACTAATGTGGGGCTCAGTTTCATGACCCTGCGATGGTGACTTGAGCTGACATTGAGAGTCCAATGCTTAACGGACTGAGCCACCCAGGCACCCCTTTCCTTCTTTTCTTTATATGTGTTTGTATGTATCTCCTTAGCCCCCAATTCCCCTCCATTATTACTCTTTTTGCCACTTTTTTCTTGGCTGCAGACATCTCAAAGTTGCCTGTGTGCCTACATCTCCCATTCTCTCTTGATCTCATGCCCATCTGACTTTCACTGTCCTTGCACCACCAAACCGCTCTTGTCAAGGTCACGAAGGAGCTCCATCCTACTGAATCCACTGGCCAGGCATTTCCCTTCATGCAGCTTAGAGCAAAGAAGACTAAGGAGGGCAGTGAAGGAGGAGGAAAACAGGAAAAATATGCCATCTTAGAAGCAAAGGGGAGACAGTGTTTCAGGGAAAAGAATTTAATTCTTCATCTCCTTTGCTGGTTTCATTTCTTCTCTGGACTCTCTGAACATCGCGGTGCCCTGTCCTTTGGCTCTTCTCTATACCTACACTCGCTCTCTTGGTGATAGAATCCTTACCTTCTAGCTGCCAATGACTCTCAAAAATATTTTTTAAAGATTTTATTTCTTTGAGAGAGAGTGAGTGAGCACACGAGCTGGGGAAAGGGGCAGAGGGAGAAGCAAACTCCCTGCTGACCAGGGAGCCCGATGCAGGACTCGATCCCAGGACCCTGGGATCATGACCTGAGCTGAAGGCAGATGCTTAACTGACTGAGCCTCCCATGTGCTCCTGACTCTCAAATTTTTATCTTCAGTCTAGACCTCACTCCTGAATTCCACATTTGACTGTCCATCTGTCAATTCATCATTTCCACTTGATTATCTAGCAGGCATCTCAAACTTAACATATTCTAATGGAACTAGTGGTTATTTCTCCCTACAATGGCTTCATACAAGGCCCTCCCATCTTTGGAAAAGGCATCCCGGTGCTTCTGGTTGCTCAGGCCAGGAACTGAGGAGTTATCCTTCATTCTGTTCCTTAATCTATACCCCTCGGCTAAGCCCTCAGGAATCCCATCAGCTGTGATTTCCAAATATATCCGGAATCTGCACTTGTCAATTTCACGACCACCTTCCTCTCTCGGGTTGCTAACTGCAGGAGCCTTCTAGCTGCTCTCCGTGCTCCCACTGAGTCCTGGCTTCTTTTTTTTCCTCAACACAACTACCACAGTGCTCTCCTTGACCCCCATACCAGGTCAGGTACCTCCTCTGCTCAGATCTCCACAGTGCTCCCCATCTCTCCTTGAGTAACTGTCCAAGTCCTTATCCAGGCTCTTTCTCCTGCCTGGAAACTCCGCTCCACGAGGGTTCTGCATGGGCTGCTGGGGTGGCTCAGTTGGTTGAGTGTCTGCCTTTGGCTCAGGTCGTAATCCCAGGGTCCTGAGATTGAGCTCCACCTGAGCTCCCTACTCAGCGGGGAGCCTGCTTCTCCCTCTCCCTCTATCCCAGCACCGCCCCCCCAACACCGTGCTCTCTATCTCAAATGAATAAATAAAATCTGTAAAAAACAAGAGAGGGTTCTGCATGGCTCACTCCCACAACTTCCTCAAGTCTTTGCTCCCCTGTCCCCCTCTAAAATTGGTCTATCTACCCTGACTGTTGCATTTAGACAATTGCGATTGCTCGCTCCTAAGTTTTCTTTTTTCCTGTGACACTTAGCATATTATGACATGCTACACAATTTGCTTATTTATGAGAGAGAGAGAGAGAGAGTGTGTGTGTGTGTGTGCATGTGCATAAGTGTTGGGGGAGAAGCAGAGAAGGAGAGAATCTTAAGTAGACTGCACATTTACTGCACAGCCCACTGTGGGTCTCGATCTCATGACCCTGAGATCAAAACCTGAGCTGAAATCAAAAGTCAGACCCTTAACTGACTGAGCCACCCAGGGGCCCTGTATCTCTACATTTACAAAAAAACAAAAGTAAGATCAGGCTGTACTTTTCAAAATCTCGTTTTCAGCTAACAATTTTCTGTGAATGTTTTCCATATCCTACATCACATTCTTCTACCTTATTATTTAAAAAGATAATTTCTCTCTTGAATAAGTAAACATTCACATGGTTCAGTTAAAAAAGTATAAAAGGCTATATAATGCAAAATCTCTTTCCCAAACTTGTCCCTTTTCTTGTTACCTTTTTCGGAAGCAACGGAATATTTCTGTCCCGCACAACACCCCCACCCTTTTCGGGAGGTAAGTTCTTCCTCAGGTATTTTATGTACATCCAAGCAAATACATATATCTTGCTTACATTGAACACAAATGGCTAATATCAAATCAATGCTCTGTGGCTTACTTTATTTTTTAAAAAGATAGATTTATTTATTTATTTTAGAAAGAGAAAGCACAAACAGGAGGGACAGAGGGAGAAAAAAATCTCAAGCAGACTCTGCACTGAGCTTGGAGCCCATTGTGGGGTGTCCTCTCATGACCCTGAGATCAGGACCTGAGCAGAAACCCGGAGTCTGACGCTCAACCGACAGGGCCATCCAGGCATCCCTGTACCTTACTTTATGAACATAATAATATATCTTGACAATCACTACAGATCAATTTATGTAGTTCCCTTAAGTTTAAGGGCTTCCATGTAATTCTGATATAAGGGACGCCTGGGTGGCTCAGTTGGTTAAGCATCTGCCTTTGGTTCAGGTCATGATCATGACCCCAGGGGACTGAGCCCGAAATGAACTCCTTGCTTGTCTGGACAGCCTGCTCCTCCCTCCGCCTGCAGCTCTCCCTGCTTGTGCTCTCTCTGGCAAATAAATAAAATCTAAAAAAAAAAAAAAAAAGAATTCTGATATAAATGTACCTTAATTTATTTAACAAGTCCCCTGCTGCTCAGCATTTAGGTTACTTTGAATCTTTTGGAATTTCAAAAATTATTACCATAAATAACCTTCGTTCACACTGGGGCAATGCAGCCGTAGGAGGAAGTTCTTGAAGTGAAATGCCCGATTAAAAGATACCTGCGTTCGTAATTCTGAGAGATGTCAAACTGCTTTCTCCAGACTTTGTACCAGTTTATAGACACCTCCTCCTAAGTCTGCAGGAGCACGTGTTACTCCCATCCCCATCAACAAGTTGGTTAAAAACGTGTTTGATCTTTGCTGATGTGATTAATAAAAATGATATTTTAGGGTGCTTTTAATTTTCCACCTCTTATAGGTGAGGTTGAGTATCTTTTCACATGATTGAGAGCTTTTGATTATATATATATAATATATATTATATATATTATATATTAATACTATATATTATAACTATATTTATATATTATATATATATATATTTTATCCATAGTTATTACCCCTTTTCTTTCAGACCATAAGATTTTTTCCCCACAGGGTCTTTCTATATTAGGACATCAGCCCTCTCTCTGCATGGATCACAAACATTTTCCCCAATGTGTCGCTTGCCTTTTCACTTTACTTATTGTGTTTGTGCCATGCAGGAGTTTTTAATGTTATTATTGTTGTATTTTTCAGTTTTCTGTACTTCCAGATGTTATTTCAGAAAGGTCTTCCATATTCTTATTATGAAATAACTGTCTCATGGCTTCCTCTCATACCTTTATGATCTTATTGATCTATTAAAAATTTTTTCTGAGCTGATAATGCCTTTTTTTTTTTTTTTCTTACCTCATTGTACTTACCAAAATCTCTAGCAAAATGTTGGTGAAAGTAGGGACAGTGGGCATCCTTGCCTTGATCTTGGTCTTACATGGGAGCAAATAGGTAAATGATGGGCTGACTCTGCATTGCCAAATCACTCTCCACAAAGTTGATGCCAATTTGAACTGCTCTGCCTGGCTTGGAGTTGCCTAGGAAACCGTAACCATTAAGTATGATGTTAGCTGTAGGTTGTCGATGTCCTTTATCACATTTAGAAAGTCCCCTTCTATTCCTAGTTTGCTGAGAGTTTTTATCATAAATTTTGACAAGTGCTTTTTCTGTATCTATGGGGATGATCATATGCTGGTTTGTTGGTTTTGTTTTTTTTTTTGCCTTTATCCTGTTAATGTAGTGAATTATATTAATTTATGTTTGACCCTGAAGTCAACCTTGCATTTCTGGAGTAAACCCCACTTGGTGATGCCTTATCCCTTTATATATTGCTTGATTATGTATGGCTAATACTCGGTAATGGAATTTTATATTCTGTTCATAAGGGATATTGGTCTGTAACTGCCTTTCTTATAGCATCCTTGCTATGTATTGATTTAAATTCCTGTTCATTTTTCAGTCCATTTCTGGATTTTATATTATATTCTCTTCCATGAATCATTACCTTTCTTATCTTACTATTGTTAATGGGTGGATTGTTGGATATTTAGGAATTGGGTTATTTCCCGTGTCCTGCTATTACAGACAATGATGCAATGAACAGTATTTCGGCTAGATCTTTTCTGACTCCTTGATTATACCCTTAATATAAATCCTTAGAAGTTGAGTAACTGGGTCAATGGATAGATGGAAGCAGAGTAGTGTACAAATGCTTTCTTCCTTCGTGCCTTCCAGGGGCCCCTCCCATCCCACTCATGCGTCCCATTGAAGGAACCTAAGCGGAAGCAAGATGGCAAAGAAATGTGGAAAAGTCCTTGGCAGGATCCAGCTCCAACTGAGACAGAACAGCAGAGCTGGGATCGAGGACATTGGATCTGCGCAGTTGTAAGGAGCCCTGTCCTTAGAGAAGCCCTTTGCTGTCAGTGTCTTGAAATTCATAATCCTTTCTGAGCAAGGGGTCTTGCATTTTCACATTGCTCTGGCCCTGCAGATGATGTGGTCGGTCCTGCCGAGCAGAGCACGGAGGGACCAGAAGCTGAGAGGAAAATGCCAGGGCTGCTCCATTGCCAAATGGCTCCTCACAAAGTTTATGCCAATTTGAATTACTTGCCAGTGTAGGGAGTTGCCTGGGAAACCACAAATTCGTTATGGTGCTGATAGGGAAGTGCTTAAGGGTCCCCCTTGACAGTCTCCAGCAGTAGCAAAAGCAAGAGCAGAGAAGTCAACGAATTGGTTCCCTGCTCTGCCAACTCAGGGAGTCTGACTAGAAACCCTCCCTGTGCTCCAGTGTGTCACCCCCTCCTTCACCCTTAAAGAAAACAGATCTGACTGGTGAGTATTATTGGTTGTCACAAAATTCATATAGTTTTTTGGGTTTTTTGTTTTTGTGTGGGTTTTTTTTTTTTTTTGTATATCTGGTCTACCATTAAATTTATCTTTTACTGTTCTTTCTATAACTTACTGGTGCAGAGGAAACAGTGGGTCTCTCAGCAGTACTTGGGGGTTGGGCTTTTCTAGACCCGCTTCTGGAAGCAGACACCAGGCCTCACATTGGCTCTGAAGAACCCACCAACAGGAAAGGAATAGGGAAGATGTTCAGAGAAGATTCTGGAGATTTGGGGAGGGTGGTTACAAGGGTCAGAGTGTGGCCCTGCCACTGTGGAGGTAGTGGGGGTGACCTAGAGAGAAAGCAGAGGCACCTCCTAGGGAACCCAGACCTGTGTTCCAACCCT